TAATAATATATTTGAATGAAGGGAAATAGATGAGAGGGGAAGGGAGGAAAGTGATTTTTAATTAATTAAATTATAATATTTTTAAATATTATAATTTACTTAGTCAAAAAAAATCTTTCCCTTTTCTTTTTCTTCTCTACATTCCCTTTAAACAAAACATAATGTAAGAGTCATAGGTAACGTCTTGATTTTGATAATTTTTGTGTTATCTACTACCAAAGAACTAACCAATACATAGACTTGATAAAATTAAACCTAATTTGAAAATTCAACCAATTTATTTATCAGAAAAGTGATTTTTAGGATTACTTGACAGTTTTGATAACATCAGAGTCATTTATCATGTAATCTCCACGTGGATCTCAACATGAAGTCATATGATGAATGGTCTTGATACTGTCAGGACCATTAAGAAGTCTTGATTTTCCACAACCTTTTTATTTAATATGGATCAGGCGATGGATCTAAAGTATTAATTTAGAATTTAATATGATTCAAATTAAAATTATCTGCATCATTTGCGTTGGGTCAAGGTTGGAATGGGTTAGCTCATAATAGCTGAACTAGAATCCACTAATTTTTTTTACATTTAAATTTTGATTAATTACATTTTTATTTTTTATTTTTAAGAAAAAAAATCCTTAATTAATTTTTGCAAAAAATGGGAGAAGAAAGTTGAGTTGAGGTAGACTGTAATATTTAATTTCAAGCTTTCAATTATAAAATTGAGTCACTGAGTATTTGGCAAAAGGGACGACGGTGAGAGAGAAGGCATACTATTTTCGGATTTAGTTTTGAATGATATATTGAGACATGCATAGGCATGGACACGTGGTTGGTGAGGGTGAGATTTAGATGAGATATTTATTGAGATGCAGATGACGATGAGCACATGTTAAGGATAAAAAAAGAGTATCCTTCCACTTTCTGAAAAATTGCATAATGACCTATGCAAGTTAATCCTTTTAAATTTAAATACTAACAATGAATTAAGTTTTCTAAACATTACTAATATTAATCTTTTTAGTCAAAATATTTATATTTTAAGACATTAATTTTATTTTTTATGTCTAGCAAGTATTATTTTATAAGTTTATAATTAATTTATATAAAAATATATATTTATAATTATAAATTTAAAATTATATATGATACAATTCAATATATAGTATATATTATATCAATAATAAAATTAATACATATATAAGTAAGATATTGACAACCTTGGCTTATAGCAGCCTCATGCTAAGTTGAAAAATAATTGAAACTTTTAATAATATATTTGAATGAAGGGAAATAGATGAGAGGGGAAGGGAGGAAAGTGATTTTTAATTAATTAAATTATAATATGTTTAAATATTATAATTTACTTAATCAAAAAAAGTCTTTCCCTTTTCTTTTTCTTCTCTACATTCCCTTTAAACCAAACATCATGTAAGAGTCATAGGTAACGTCTTGGTTTTGATAATTTTTTACATAGACTTGATAAAATTAAACCTAATTTAAAAATTCAACCTATTTATTTATCAAAAAAGTGATTTTTAAGATTACCTACAGTTTCGACAGCATCAGAGTTATTTATCATGTAATCTCCACGTGGATCCCAACATGAGGTCATATGATGAATGGTCCTAATATTGCCAGGACTATTAAGAAGTCTTGATTTTCCGCAACCTCTTTATTTATTATGGGTCAGGCAATGAATCTAAAGTATTAATTTAGAATTTAATATAATTCAAATTAAAATTATCTGCATCTGATTGCGTTGGGTCAAGGTTGGGATGAGTTAGCTCATAATAGCTGAACTAGAATCCACTAATTTTTTTAAATTTAAAATTTTGATTAATTACATTTTTATTTTTT